AGAAACTGAGGTCTGCTCAGCATTGTTGCAGTATAAACCATAGGTTTGGGGGCTCTATGGGTGTTGAATAAACAAAATGAGAGCCTGAGAAAGCGTCTGCAGTAGTGATTTACTATCGCTCTAGAGACCCCATTGAGTAGGATGGTTTTGTGTTAATGTATTTTCCCCCCGTTGTTATATGTACGGGGTTGATGTTAATGACAGAAATTAAAATGCATAAAACGCACAGCGTTAACAACAATAAAAACTTGAAACACTTAAGTTGGACATAATTAACAAACAATTTGTATTTTCTTTTTGTGATGTGAAGTACAGAATATGGGTATGAATTGTGTGTAAAAATGTTCTCAGTGTCACTGTTGTTTAAAGTTAGTATTTACGTGGTTTGGTTCCGAGAATTTCGATTTTGTGAGGATGGCGTTTTGAAACCGTCTGTTTTCGAACTTCACGGACGCTGGCTGAACGATATGTTTCATACTGCTACTTCGATTTGGGTCTACTGACTACTGCTACGGGTACCCTAGACACTCAACTTCCACTAGTAACGAGACCAGCTTGTTAACCATTATCACGCAAGAGTAGAGCCTGTTATAATATGGCTACAGTGGAATAATGTATAGCGGCTCGGATGCATATATTCAGCTATTTCTTTCACATTTCAATCATGAACAAGTAAATCAGCGTGATCATTGCTTAATTAAAAGATCTATATTAAAAAATGAATTTCAAAATTTCTATATATGGAAAATCTTACATTGTTATTTTCAGAAAACAAATTTCTTATTTGCTAAATAAATATGACAAAAAACAAAAAACAAGAACTCTTTTTAGTCACTTGACAGACACTTGACACTCGACTAATCATGAAAATTTGGAGTTGTTATTTGCTAAATGGCATTGAAAACCATTTTGTGTGGTATTCGGCTTCCCTTTCATAATAACAGAGATTTAATCGCAATATGAATTATAGATGAAGAAGAAGCGTAAAGCGAGGTACAGTATAAAAAAAATATTTATGATCCATTTGATTCCCTTTTGGCTATTGCTACATTTCCAAACAAAGAACCAAGTAAATGAATGTTACCATTTCTTACGTTTCTACAATTATCACAGGCAGTCTTTGCGGCCATGAGCTTGCAATTCGCACAAAAATAGTAATTTTGTGCTGCGACGTGGTGTAAGCGTTAACGGCTTATCTCGCTAGATCAATTACGAGTGAGTTCGATCCTCACTGGGTGCTCCATACTTTCGGTCTTGCGCTACATGAAGCCACGCTTAGAAATAGCTATGTAGTAGACGCCCAGGTGACGTAGAAAAGTGTTACACGCACAAAAAAGTGTTTCTAGGAATACATACAGCTTTTTATATTTTGTATTATTTTATAATATTTTCCTTATGACACGAGGCTCGCTTTGAAATTAATAGTTTTATTTTATTGTTCTGACTTGGACGGATTTTTTCTGACTTCATAGACAAATTTTATTTGGATGGCACCAAGCTGAACCATTCCAACGATAACCATTTTTTCTTCTTTGCAGCATGTTAACGTTAGGCCATACCATTTTTAAAAACCACATATCATGCTGCAAATTTAGGTTTGACTATCAATTACAAGCACACTGCATGTATCACGTTGAAACACCACTTCTCGTACGATCACTGAAGTTAAGCACCGCTGTGCCCGATCAGTACTTAGATGGGCGCCCGCTTGAATGGTTTATCTTGGATTGAATATGGCAGTGTAATGGATAACAGCTCGAATTGAAATCAGAAGGCCGAGTTCAATTTCGGTCGGGTTAATTATATTCACTTTCATTTGGGAAATACATGAATCACATTTAGATATAGATTAATAATATGGCTTTTATCATTAAAATCATTATTATCTCAAAAACATTCTCACAATCTAAACATATTTTCTGGCTTTAAATAACCTGCGAAAAAAAAAAAAGGAAATCATACACGGTATAGTCCGAATTTGGCGCCTTTCGACTATCATCAAATTGATTAAATATGAACTACGCGGATTTTTTTTCTAGAGACAATGCCGTTATCGCTGTATTAAAATGTTGATCCGCTGATTTCGAGCGCAGTGAAGCTTCTGAATCATCACTGGCAAAAAAAAAGCAACACCTCACCAAAAAAAAAAAAATAATCAAAAAAAAAAAGGCATACCGGTACAGTGATGATGAAATTATTTTGTAGCTGAAACTTATCCTATCCAAATGTGCTCCTTGAATATATTACGTTTTCCTGGGAAATAAATAAATGGCATTACTTTCCGGAACGACCCTCTTAACTCTAAATAAATATATTGTTATTTACTTTGCTTAGGTGCAAAAAATCATAGATCAGGACAGAGCAAGAATATAATATAAAAGGCTCAAACACTAATATTCCATGGTTATAATTTATTACATTGGAATCGTAATCCAATTTATCAGACCTACAAATTCAAAAAGAAATCTGAAAATATAACTCCGGGTATAAAAAAAAAAAGAAGATTGGTGAGAGTGTATGTGTGGGAGTGGGAAACAAGTGTGAGAATGAAATGTATGAAAGCTCTAGAGAGAGGGTGTAACAGAAGAAAGAAGAATAGGAAGGCTTAAAGGTGAAGGTGGGGATTATAATTTAACAGAGTGAAGTTTTAAAGAGAGGAGTTAAATATATAGAATAGTTATATATATATATATATATATATATATATATATATATATATATATATATATATATATATGTAAAACTCTGGCTAGCGGAGTTTCATATTGTATTAATAATATTATAATTTATTATATTCAAGATCTGTTAACTTCACTTTATTTTATATTTTAAGCTTATTTGAATATAGACTTGATGGTATTCCTGCAATAGTCCTTAAGAAATGTGCTCCTTGTTCTTTCTAAACTCTTCAATAAATCCGTTGCTGCTTCTTGCATTCCTGCTTGTTGGAAATCCTTTTCTGTAGTTCCGGTCTTTAAGAACTCGCGCGAATCGTCGGATCCTTTTAACTATTAACTTGTTAGCCTTCTATCGCTTTTTGACAAAACACTAGGCACATGGCCGAGTGGTTAGAACGTTCGCCTTCTGACCATGAAACCCGGGTTCGAATGGTCGATTTGTCAGGAAGGAGACTTCCTGGTGTTATCGGACTGCTGGGTGGGGGGCGGGGTCGATCCCAGTGTGCAGCATCTTTGGAAAGTGCCTGAAAACCATACCGCGTGTTGACTCAAGTCTTGTGAATGAAATTGGGTAGACGGAATCCTTGGTCGGGGGTCGATAGCTGTGCTAGCACAAAGTCACAAGTCATCGTGGCCGAGGGCTTGTTCAAATTTTTAATCAGGCTAGTTAACACGCTCTTTCCCAGAAACTGAAGGTCTGCTCAGCATTGTTGCAGTATAAACCACAGGTTAGCTCTATGGGTGTTGAATAAACAAAAATGAGCCTGAGAAAGCGTCTGCAGTAGTGATTTACTAGCCGCCCTAGAGGCTTGTATTGGAGTAGGATGGTTTTGTGTTAATGTATTATTTCCCCCGTTGTTATATGTACGGGGGTTGATGTTAATGACAGAAATTAAAATGCATAAAACGCACAGCGTTAACAACAATAAAAACTTGAAACACTTGTTGACATAATTAACAACAATTTGTATTTTCTTTTTGTGATGTGAAGTACAGAATATGGGTATGGTGTGTGTAAAAATGTTCTCAGTGTCACTGTTGTTTAAAAGTTAGTATTTACGTGGTTTGGTTCCGAGAATTTCGTTTGTGAGGATGGCGTTTGGAAACCGTCTGTTTTCGAACTTCACGGAGCGCTGGCTAGACGTGTGTTTCTATACTGCTACTTCGATTCTTGTCTACTGACTACTGCTACGGGTACCCTAGGACACTCAACTTCACTAGTAACGAGACCAGCTTGTTAACCATTATCACACTGAGTAGAGCCTGTTATAATATAGCTACAGTGGAATAATGTATAGCGGCTCGGATGCATATATTCGGCTATTTCTTTCACATTCCAATCAAGGAACAAGTAAATCAGCGTGATCATTGCTTAATTAAAAGATCTATATTAAAAATGAATTTCAAAATTTCTAATATGTCAGAAAATCTTACATTGTTATTTTCAGAAAACAAATTTCTTATTTGCACAAATATGACAAAAAAACAAAAAAACAAGAACTCTTTTTAGTCACTTGACAGACACTTGACACTCGACTAATCATGAAAATTTGAGTTGCCATTTGCTAAATATTAAGGAAAACCATTTTGTGTGGTATTCAAACACCCCGCCATAATAACAGAGATTTAATCGCAATATGAATTATAGATGAAGAAGAAGCGTAAAGCGAGGTACAGTATAAAAAAATATTTATGATCCATTTGATTCCTTTTTGGCTATTTCTTTCACATTCCAAGCAAGGAACAAGTAAATGAATGTTACCATTTCTTACGTTTCTACCACAATTATCACAGGCAGTCTTTGCGGCCATGAGCTTGCAATTCGCACAAAAAATATAACTTTGTGCCCTGCGACGTGGTGTAAGCGTTAACAAGCTTATCTCGCTAGATCAATTTTGAGTGAGTTCGATCCTCACTGGGTGCTCCATACTTTCGGTCTTGCGCTACATCGAAGCCACGCTTAGGAAATAGCTATGTAATAGACGCTTCAGGTGACGTAGAAAAGTGTTACACGCACAAAAAGTGTTTCTAGGAATACATACAGCTTTTTTATATTTGTATTATTTTATAATATTTCCTTATGACACGAGGCTCGCTTTGAAATTAATGATTTCTATTTTATTGTTCTGACTTGGACGGATTTTCTGACTTCATAGACAAATTTTATTTGGATGGCACCAGAAGCTGAACCATTCCACCGATAACCATTTTTTTTCTTCTTTGTAGCATGTTAACGTTAGGCCATGCACCATTTTTAAAACCACATATCATGCTGCAAATTTAGGCTTGACTATCCAATTACAAGCACACTGCATGTATCACGTTGAAACACCACTTCTCGTACGATCACTGAAGTTAAGCACCGCTGTGCCTGATCAGTACTTAGATGGGCGCCCGCTTGAGAATGACATTTATCTTAAGTTCGAATATGTGGCAGGTGTAATGGATAACAGCTCGGAATTGGAAATCAGAAGGCCGAGTTCGAATTTCGGTCGGGTTAATTATATTCACTTTCATTTGGGAAATACATGAATCCACCTTTTAGATATAGATTAACTAGTATGGCTTTTATCATTAAATCATTATTATCTCAAAAACATTCTCACAATCTAAACATATTTTCTGGCTTTAAATAACCTGCGAAAAAAAAAAAAAGGAAATCATACACGGTATAGTCCGAATTTGGCGCCTTTCGACTATCATCGAAACGATTAAATATGAACTACGCGGATTTTTTTTTTCTAGAGACAATGCCGTTATCGCTGTATTAAAAATGTTGATCGCTGATTTCCGAGCGCAGTATGAAGCTTCTGAATCATCACTGGCAAAAGAAAAAGCAACACCCCCACCAAAAAAAAAAAAAATAATCAAAAAAAAAAAAAGGCATCGCCAGTGATGATGATGTGAAATTTATTTTGTAGCTGAAAACTTATCCTATCCAAATGTGCTCCTTGAATATATTACAATTTCCTGGGAAATAAATAAATGGCATTACTTTCGGAACGACCCTCTTAACTCTAAACAATATATTGTTATTTACTTTGCTTAGGTGCAAATTCATAAATATAGATCACTCAGTGAGACTCTACTTCTACTCGACCAGCTTGTTAACCATTATCACACTGAGTAGAGTCTGTTATAATATAGCTACAGTGGATACAATGGATAGCGGCTCGGATTGAGGAATCGGAGAGCCGAGTTCGAATTCCAGTCGAATCCATTACATTCACTTACGTGCTAATACCCTTGGGAAAAGTATGAATCTTCTTCTTCATCCCCAGCTATGTTTAAATAACAGGACAGACCGTGTTCTATAGCCTTTGATGGCAACTGGTCTACCGCAGAAAGAAATGACAATCTACTGTCATGTCAGTCCTGTATCGAAAGATACATAATTGCCTAAGCGTATTTCACGGATGACACATAACTTGATAGTCTTCAAGTCCTCTAGCGTTTTGTTGTGGTATAGATAACAAGGTGATTTTGTACAATATGCGAGCTCGATCCACACTTGGTACTCCAGAATTGTGGCCTTATCTTACTTATTATAAAACGCAGATTGTATGTGTGTGTGTCTACGTTTATATATTGGATCGGATTTCCTACATTTTTCAACCGATTTCAACAAAAATTCACAGGACTGCGTAAAATTACATTGCGGTGGTTCTGACAGCGCCAAAAATTGGAAAACACAATTGTTTTTGCACGAAATCAATTTGAAAACACGATAAAACACGATTCTGTCGCCAGAATGAAAGGGGAACAACTCATATCGAGTTATACTTATAAAACCCAGGTTGTCTGAGTGTGTGTGTGTATGTGTGTGTGTGTGTATGTGTGTGTGTTTTCGTTTATATATGGGATCGGATTTCCCTACATTTTTCAACCGATTTCAACAAAACTTCACTTTTTTTTGGCAGGTAATGTTTCTTATTGTCGTGCACACTTTTTTCTTTATTTTTACATTCAGAATGCTTTAAAAATTCCATTTACAAGACAATTGTTTATAATAAAATTCTATTTAATCGATAGACTCATAACAATTGAAAACAAAAAAAACAAAAAAAACTAATTAAGACATGCGTGTCCGTCAACCTTAAACAATAATCTTTGTCAATTTTATTTTTAAGTCTTTATGATGGTCGATACTTGATCTATCTCTTACTGTTACATCCCCGGGCAACGCCGGGCTCTACTGCTGGTGCTAAATAAATTTTGGAACATTTTGTTTTAATAGAAATAAGCTTTTGTTGGCCCAAGTTTTGTTTGCAAGAATACAAAGTTTACATACCTAGCTTGATTCTGAAGATTATCTTGCACAAATGGACTTACGTAGAAATCACAAATGTTGCCTATAACCATAATGTTCAATTTCAAACTGAGACGTTATTCAATTTTTTATTATTGGTTTAATTTTCCTCCCTGTTCTGCCATCCACTTGCACATGCTCGTTAGTTCAGTGTTTTTATCTGTCTCTTTTGCCTTCGCTAGGTATTGTGGGTGTCTAATTCTCCAAGACCTCTTCCCGTATTATGTGAAATTTGCACACCCACAAGAAAAGGTACACTGATAGATTGTCACTGAAACAAAGTCCTCAAACCAGAACAATTCCGGCTAAACCTGGTCTTAGAGTAAGTCTAGCGATAAGGTTATGATATTATAAGTAACTTGACCCTGAAATATACCACAGACAAACTGCATTTGTGATGCATCTACTCTAACATGAAGCTTCGTGTCTTTTACATCTTCATTGCTACTTACTAAACTTACTAAGGCATTCAATGACATCAGAAACGATCAGCCTGATTAGTAATAACTTCTTTATGGCTTTTGTATGAAGTTCAGCCCTCAATATTTACATGAAAAGGAGAAATACATTGAGAATATTTTAAAACTCTTTTTTTAATATCCTAATTATTTTATATTTAATGAGAAATAGAATCTCTTCAAATTTATAAATAAAAATGAACGATATAAACTATCTTACTAAAACTAATTACAGAAAACTACCTACTATCATATTTTCTGATCACAGAAAACTCCCTATGGTCTGCCGGCCTGCAGTTGAAGATTTGTCTTCAGCTGGGCTTGTTAAGCACTCTGCCTCCGGACAGAGAGCATCCCCAGACGGGACTATGTTGAAAGGCAGAATCTCGTCTCAGGAAACACTTACCCGACCTCGTTTTATGCGGAGTCTACGGAGAATTTTTGATTGAGCCTACGGGCTCTGGAACCCCACATTAAATTCGGCCTTGAGCCACATCTGACTGCATGAGACAGTTGGTAGATACCGTCTGCCGGCCTGCAATAGGAGATTTGTCTTCAGCTGGGCTGGTTAAGCTCTCTGCCCGGAGGCAGAGAGCATTCCCAGACGTGGCAATGCCGAAAGGGCAGGGCTGGTCTCGGGAAATACCTATCCGACCCCGTTTTATACGGGGTCTACGGGGAATTTTTGGATGAGTTTACGGGCTCGGGAAACCCACATTAAATTCGACCTTGTGCCACATCTGGCTGCGTGGGACAGTTGGTAGATACCGTTAATAACGACGGCAATTTAAAAGAATTTATTTAAACTTTACAACTAACACTAAAACAATCAGGCGTCCCGAAACTGTTTCTGGTCGTAGGGGCACCATGTGTACTGCATCCACAGTAGAAATGATGTGACTCGGGCAAGATAGCCTGACGGAACCCAACACTCTTCAGTCTGGTTTAAATTCAGAGTTTTTCCTTTTCTTACACCCGCTGCCACTCACATCTATAGAACCCAGTCTGTCCTGCTTTTTATCCATAGATGGGAAAAAAAGATGGATCCGTACCTTTCCAAGTGTATTAACACGTAAGTGAATGCAATGAACTCGACTCTCTGATATCTCAATTCGAGCCGCATTATTCCACCAACGCAATTAGAAAAGACTTAATACAAAATAAAATACTAACAACATAAACAAATTTATATTCTAGCCTGTGATAATTTTCACAAAAAAATACTTCGATGAATTTAACACAAAAGAGATATTTTGCAAAACAACAGACTACAGCATTAGTTGTTCATCGTAATGTACCTGACCATAATTTCGATTTAAAAATGTTGCTTTTAATTAAAAGAAAAATTAATTTACTGATACGAAAATGTATAGTGTAATGATTTCTGAATCTTCCTCGATAAATTTGTATCCGAGTTCTTGCAACATTTCATCTTTCTTTACGAATCTTTTACTGTTGCGGTGTGTGTTATTTAAAAATATTAGCGACAAAAACAAAAAACAAAACCGTTGGGAAACCGAATGAGATCGGTTGAGCCGTGCGTCTAGACACGTCGGATGCAAGAATTTCAAATTTAGTGTCTCTAAATCTTCAGTGTTTCTCCTCAGTGCATAATTATAACCGACGTTTATATCTGCTTCTACCCCCCCCTCCACATATATAATTCTATTAAGAGGTATATTGCTTAAAATTTTGTTTCATTTAAGAACACGAAACACGTTACATAGAATTTTCTCTATTTTGTCATTCAATTGCCCAATCAAGTTAAAGAAAAGACTAAAACTGAGAGGCACTCGGTGAGGCTCGACCTCACTGCAATAGTAATGACAGAAACGGAACTTATTTATAACAACATCGCCTTGTTGAAGATTTAAAAAAGCAAAAAAAAAAAAAAAAAAAGCAAAGGATCTTTAAATTCACATGATTTATATTTATCCAGAAAAATCCAATTGATTTGTAAGAGAGAAATTACCAATGTGGGCTTTTCATTCTGATTTTTCTGAAATAAATAAATGGTACAAATAAAAATAGATTAAAAACATAAAGAATTTTCTGCAAGTTTCTGGTGATTGGCCAAGAGAGAAGATGACTTAAGCTCAAATAAGGCACCTTTCACTTAAACTGAAATTCGATAATGGACATCGTTAAGAATTCTTTTTTTTTCATTGTCGTTGGCCATTTGTGTTAACATTTGCTAACTTAAATATTTGACAAATAATTCATTAAATTTTTTATCATTTATTTCTTTTTGCTTATTTGTTCTCTCCTTCTTTTTTCATGTGTTTTGATGAGATTAAGAAAAAAAAAAAGATCAGTCAAATCCGATACACACATTTCTATGAGCAAACGCAAAAGGACAAACACACTCACAGTTAGTATGGCTACATCTTTCCACACATTATTTTTGTATTTTTGTCGCAGCAAGTTAACCCTGCATACAAATACTGTAATTCCCTATGTATAATACGCACTTTTCTAAAATTAATAAGCAAAATCAGGGGTGCGTATTATGCATAGCTACAAAAAATCTTTAAAAAATTGCCGTAAAATAAAATAAGAATTATCATATTATGGTTAAAAAACATTTTTTTTTAAATAACAGTAGGAAACGCTGGCCGTAATGAAATTGGAGAGGTACA